ACCCCTCCCCCTGTCAGAGGTTACAGTACACTTAAGGACTGTCCATATACTCTGCTCACCCCTCCCCCTGTCAGGAGTTACAGTACACTTAAGGATAGTCCATATACTCTGCTCACCCCTCCCCTCGTTAGACGTTTTGCTGATGCCCAAAGTTTTCAGTTTTCTTGTGATTCTTTCATGGTTTCAGGCGCTTAATCCACGTCAAACTAACGCGCTTTCCTAATCTGACAGGGACGACTTCTCTAAAAATTCTGTAAGTGAATCATTTCATATCACCATACTCATGCGGTTCAAAACAAATAAAAGTGTTCTCCTTATAGACCAGATTCAAAACTCGCACCGATGTGAGGCTTAAGTTGTGAACAAAGGAATCTGGCGTGATTCGTGACTTTTGAATCACGCCAGATTACTTTGAGTCACGCCAGATCCCTTTGTTCACAACTTAAGCCTCACATCGGTGCGAGTTTTGAATCTGGTCTATTGGATATGAAATATGTTATTCAAAGACACTACGTTGTTCCTTCCCTCCAACATGGCTACCGTGAAGCCCGTCTGATCGATCCGTATCAACCATCATCTTCCTACCAGTAAAGGTTTCGCACCATCACGTGACGGCAGCTATGTTGGATGACATGACATATACAATCGTTTTACATGCGAAAGACGTCAATTCCCAAGAGTAAAGGGAATTTTTGTTGTGCCATTTAAAAACATATTATAGTTTTTAATGTTATGTTTACTGCGCGCGCAGGTGGCGTCATCGACCGTGCTCCGTTCACTARTACAGCACGGATCTCGACCAATCAGAGCGCGCGTACTATCTAAGTTAGTATATAAGTGATTTATCATTGGTCTCTATCTACCACTAGCTAATTTCATCATATCTAAGTTAGTTATTCGGCCCTTCGTGCCACGCAGGCATAAAAGATGATGATGATAAGTTAGTTATAATAATATTAATATATTGTTTGTCATCATTTCACTACAGGACGCTGGAGTCGAACGCCATTCCATCTCTTCCAGAAGACTTTTGTAAAATGTTTCCACATCTTTACGACTTGTAAGTCTAAGATTATCTTCGGTGCGGGAAATGTGTAATTCATGTTTTGTATAACGTTGCGTGACCTTTTTGTTGCAGTAACGCAAACATGAACAGGATTAAGCGGATCCCAGACATGTCACGCTGCTCTTCATTGGAAATATTGTAAGCAATAGAGCGCTTTCACTCACGTGACAAGGCAGTCATTGGTGTACCGAACAATACAAACTTTCTGCACTGTTTTTGCATAAAATAGAGTTCAATTCCCCGAGGATAGAAAATGTATAATTATGGTACACCAAGATGTCCGCTGTGACGTCTCGTGAAAACGCTCTATAAATGTTATGATTCTCAATTTATGATTTGATGCATGCTCAGTAGCCTTAAACTTTTGGTTTTAAAACTTTTTTTTGGGTTTTAGAAAGCTGGATTATAATCGAATTACCACCATCGGTTCGTCGTTGCAAGGAATGAAAAATATCCAAGACATGTAAGTATTATGGGATATAAACAGGATTGTTGAGCAAGCGTTAATCAGGCCAGCGGTTGCAGTTGTGACAAAGGCATGGCAGCCAGTGGTGTACATAACAACAGAAGCTAACGAGAAATCGTTGGTTAACGGTACACCAACATGGCAGTRATGATGTCACATGCTAAACAAGAATAGAGGCATGGCAGCCATGTTAGCGTACATAACAAGAGAAGCTAACGACAAATCTTTGGTTAACGGTACACCAATATGGCGGTGATGATGTCACATGCTATCCAAGAATAGAGGCATGACAGCCATGTTGGTGTACATGACAAGAGAAG